ATGTGGTTTGCTGTACTTATCCTGAGTTCTCAAAAAATAATCTGAAAAACACTCGGATCGTTGTACTATTATAACTCCTTGCCTTCTTGTTATTCACTTTGTGATATTCACTTCATGGTCGGATTCTCTAGGTTGAACTTATACAGACTTGACATTTAATATGGTATATTTCAGTTTCGAAGGTATGCCTAGGGAAAAATATGTTCTTTTTTCAAAAAAAAAAACTCGATCTCATATAAAATTTGTGAATGTAAAAGTGTGCAGTCAGGTGTGTCACTACCAATTAACTGACTTTCATGCCTGTTGCGCTGCTACATTATGTAATTTGCAGTGATTTAATTGGGTAGTGTTCCTTTGGGCTGATCAAAGCTTGGCTTAGGCAAAGCTTGGTTCTGTCAATAAAGTATCCATATTTCGGCAACTACTGCATAGAAGAATTTGAAATTTTGCATGCAAGCGGTCAGTTTTGCAGTGCGTAAGATGAGCCAAGTAGTGCATTACAAATTTGTTAATCTAAGGCGGAATGGTGTGAAAAAGACAGACATAACCAGACAGATCATAGCGCCAAACGGAACGGTCCCCACAGTTTTATACAGTAATGCCCAGACTGATGTACCTACATAGAGGTCACCCCCAATGTATCAAAATCTTACCTACAGGGTACAGGACCCACTGACTTTCGGGATACGCTACTGCAACTAAACAAAAAACCCTTAGTCCATTCAGAACGAGGGGTGAATTACCACTGAAATGTGTTTTTTAAAGCCCTTAACGAACACCAAACTGGTTTTTGCAGGTAAGAACACCAAGTGACCTCCGAGGTAACCACTGTATACAGCAAAACATCGTCGTCTGTTTCTGTAATGAATTGGGGGCCATGACCGTTTCTGGGTAGAACACTGAAACTGCATGGCTTTCTTTATTGGGGTCAGATTTCACCTGTACCACCCAATTAATCAAAACAGAGTTTACAGATATCCAGAAGAGGCCTGCGACGAAGCATATGCCGGGTCTAAAGTGACAAGGATGATTAACAGCATCAGTATTTGGAGTGGATTTCACATTGTTGCCAAAACACCAATGGTAGTCATCGATGAAAACCTGAACCAGATCAAATAAAGGAATAATCTCGGAATCACTTGACTATCATTTGATAGGGGGCACCTTAGGAACAATTCTAGGTTGCACAATGAGGTTGCAGGTTCACACAGAGCACTTTTAATAGCAGATAACTTACAGAACCAAGGGAATGAGCAGCTACCCTGGTCATCAAAATCGCCACATTTGAACCATATAGACAAGGTTTCGGTAGACCATTACTCGCCAATCAACTGCCTACATGTCCTACAACAAAACTGGACCAGATTGGACAATTTTAGACCGATGCCTGGAATGCTATTCCAGGTTGAACTGAAAAAACCTACCCCCAAGGAATGCCTTGCCGCTTGAGCGCGCTGGCAACAGCCACGAAGAGGCCAGGCATAACAGCGACCATTACTGTGACTAGCAACTGACATGAGGGTCTTTTGTTGAGCGTATTACCCTTTTACAGACTATAATTTAGAAAATATGGAGATCCAAAATATCTCTTTAAATGGGAGTTGTATGACATAGAATAGGCAATGTGTTTTTGTTTGCTTCTCTGGCGAATTCCATTAATGAACTGATGTCACAATGACATCAAAGAGATAATTTAAAGTTATTATAACACGATTTTAATCCTTATTTTCATTTATCAGTCAGCAAAATAGGAAAAAACTGATAAAAAATTATTTTGAAAAAAATATTCCAATTTAAATGTCAAGTCTGTATTTGACATCACCCAGCTTACATGCAGGTGCATAGCTCCCAAAATCAACCAATTATATTAAAGGATAAAGTTCTAATACATCTTAATTTAATTGTTTCTACATTTTGTAAAAATTGCTCATGTTAGTTTGGAGGGTTAAGCTGGATCAAGTCTGTGTCAAGATTCTTTGAAGCTTTGCAGGAAAAATAAATCTTCATTTGTTTCTCTGGCTCCTTGTTTAGCCCAATGATCAGATTAATCTAGTGCCCCCAGGTTTGCTGAGGCAGCTCTTTGAAAATAACGCACAAGTAGATTTTTACCTGAGATAAATATCGCCAGCAAGACAAAGACTACCTGTGTGCTGAAGGGCACTTTACCATCTTATTCAGAGGTAAAGGAAGTTCCAGCTAGATGGACGATTAAGATCGGACTTATGATGGTAACTAGCCTTGTTTACCTCGGATTTGTGAAAGCAAACGAGAAGGGGTGTCAGAACAGTGGTGCATATATAAATTATACAGAAGATTTGAAAATTCAGGTGACGTTAACTTACAATCGAAGGGGATTTCCGGTAATATACCTTAAAAATACACTAAATTTATTATATCATGGTTGGCCAAACAATTGTACACACAGTGTATCCGTGCATATGCCTGGTTACACCCCTGTGACACAAACCATTTCCCGCTAACAATATGAAAATTGCCTTTTAGCATGGACAAAATGTCCAAGCTTCTAGGCTTGCTAGGATCGCTGATGATCTCTTGCTGACGAATACAGTAACGAAGTCCCTTGAACTAGTGTGGAAATTGCCTTATTGTCGCGCTCAGATCTCCCATTGATGATCTTCCAGTCCCTTGAACGAATATAAAAATGGCCTTTCTGTCTTGTTCGAATTGCTAACGAATAGATGATAACTGCCTTTTCGGTTTAGTCTAGATTACCTATGTTTGTTTGAAGGTGGTTTAAATGACAAAATGTACAGTCTTTTTAGATATGTACATTGGCGCAACTATATGCTAGGAAATCAGTTGAGTCGGCGAAAAGCTGCTGGTCAAGATTGGGTTGCCTGGGTGAAAAAATTTGGACATCGAGCCCTGCACTTTGCCCCCCCCCCCAACCTAGTATATTTGATCGCAGACAACAATCAGCATTCATCTTGGTCGCAGCACATGGCAGAGAGGGACTGTAATACACAGTTCGTAAAGCTTTACCCCACTTCAACGGTAATCACAGATAAAGGCTACTTGTACGTGCGACATAGACACCAATAGGCTGTCGTCTTGCTTTCAGCGTATGGAAAAGAGCAGCGGTAACATTTCACAGTAAAGCTTATCTGGCCATGGTAGACTTTAATCACCTGCCGTCTCTCCCTCCGTCCACTCCCGTTCTGAGTGCCACGATTGTTTTCGAAAGACGACATTAGTTTCTTGCTGCCAGAATCGCTTTTGATGCCAAATCGCTTTTGATGCCAGAATCGCTTTTGAAAAATGGCTCTACTGATAACGATGCTGTTTTGCTTCCCTAGCCAATAGTACTGCTCGTTATCTAGTACCTTAGGCCATACACAGTGATCAGGTGAAAGTATGTGTATACCTTTGGTCACAATTACCAACACTCTCACATCATACATTATGGTAACTCTAAATAGATCGTCGGGAGAAGATAACAGAAGGCATAGCAACGAACAGACAACTTCTGGTCAAAATTGACAGAATTCCATGAAATAGTACATTTGGAAATTTTGAGCCCCTCCATTTCATGAATTTTGGCCAAATGATATTTTCCCAAATTTAATTATTTTCTACTGATCGAAATTCATGGCACATTACCGTAGTCTCACGTTATTCTATGACAGTAAGTCCAACATTCATTGCATAACAATCACCGATGGGATGACAATGAACGTTCTATTTAAAATGATTCTTTTATGAGCATATGCTTATAAAGAATTTAATATGTAGATAAGATAATACAGACACTCTGTTGAAAAGATTTTATTATGAAATAAAAATATAGAAAGGGACCAAAACAATGGGACAGTATAATTCTACCAGTATATGCTGAAGCTTTCTATTAATATTTTTCATGCTAACTTCATTCCAGACTAATAGATAAACCACATAAAAGGTTCAATTTGGACAAACATGTGTACTTGGGAGTTTATCTTAATGTTACATGTTCATATACACAAAAGGGAATATATTACAAGTACTGGGAGTTCCATTCACACATTGTTAAGGTCATAATAACTCTTTGTTTTGGCCAAAAATTGGATTTTCCTGGAGTACACGGCAATTTTCCCGTACTTACCAATGGTCAACGACCCCATTCCTGCATTCAAAGTTAGTCTACGGTAAGATCTTAAAAATTGCATCGCTTAAAAATTAATTAATATTTTCAATTGTGTAAATCCGACTAATTTTTTAAAATTACCCTCCCCGACTGCTGGGTATGATGAAAATTTTCAAAAATCCGGCCTTTGGGCTTTTATCCTTAGAGACTGTTATCTTTGACCCTCCTATAATGTGGGATATTTATTACTACTTCCCAAGTCATTTTATGGTGGTAAATAATAATCTATTTATTAGTGCATCAACATTAAGTTATACTTAGCTAACTGTACCCGAAAACATGTTGACAATTATCTTCTCGGCAAGAAACATACCTCCTGATAAAGGAGAAGGATCAAGATAAGCCTAATTGCAACCTTGCATCATGACCTGGATGCGACATATTAAAAAATTATGTACTTGGGAACATTTGTTGCATGCAGGGCTTTTCCCAGGATTGAGTGTCAGGCCTTCTAAAATTACCATCTGTAACTTCCTAAAAATTTACAGAAGTTAAATATTGATCTCTCGTTGACGATCTTCGACATTTTAAGTTCCTTGAACTTATATGAAAACTACATTTTATTATTGCTTACATCGCAAACAATCTCCCGATGAAGATGTGAAAATTGCCTTTTCGTCTAGCAAGGATCGCGAACAATCTCCCTCTGATATGATCTTACGCGAACAAAGTCCTGACGATATTACGCAAATGATTCTTCGCCAAAGATATGCCGTGAGCGGGGAGGGGGGGTGGTGCGGATTAAAGATCAAATGAAAATGAATATTTTTAAAAATCCAAAGTTTGTGTGTGTGTGTGTNACTTGTAGGCGGAGCCGCAGGAGCCGGCGGAGCCAGCAGAACATACGGATCGGGACTAAAACCATGTGTACCGCCAGCGCCTACGCTGGTGGTACAATGATTCTCAATATATTTCAAGAGACTTTTTATGTCTAGCTAAGCATTTTATCGGCCCAAAACACGGGAGTGGAACACGTCCTTGTGGGTTAGTCATGTGCCGAACGTCAATTCCGGAAAGTTACCTGAAAAGTTACAAGAGTTTGTAAGTCCACGACTTACAAGTGTTTCAAGAATACCGCGTAAGTCCAAGTGACAAATTCGCATAAATAGTTACAAATTGTAGTAAGTTACAAAGTTTCAAGAATACAGCCCCTGTCCTCCATTTCATCTCTCACTATGTCCTCTATACCTTGCACGGCAGCATCAGAAGATTTCTTGTCCTTTGCATAAATGTCAAGAACCAACACTTTTTTCTCCCTTTCCAAAACCTCACTCCCTTTCCATGAATGCATTAGAAAGGTATCTTAAAGATATGAAGAAAATCAAAAATGTTACAATAAATGAAAAAAAGTTCTTCTAGTTTGATGGCAAATGTATTAAATTTTTTGACATCACAAAAATTGTGAACGAATATATTAAAAATATTTTCAGATCTCCTCAGTGTACATTTCTGATCAAATTAATGTGACATTACTGCCTTATAAAACACACTGTATAATATAAACAACATTATATCAAACTTACCCCACACTTTTTTAAAGATACCTCTGTTGTCTTTTAATGGTGTTCCATGCTTGTTCTTCATAACCTTATGGAATATAGGTAGCAGATGTGGTTGAAACAAAGTAATCCTTACCAGCATGACATTAATTGGATTAACATTAATGTAGAAGTCAGCAATACCTTCCAACATGTCTGAGGCAATTGACTCAGGGTTATTATTAAATCCAAGTGCACCTACAATATGTAATAAAATATACTGTAATTACTCAATCTTTTCAATGAGGAAAAATTGTGAATTTTACAGATAGTCTATTTTAAGTCAATATTTCTTCAAATTAGAACACCCTTACTGAGTGGTAGCAACAAAACTAAAAAGCAGGTTACTCTATAGTTGTATTCTATGCAGCAAAAGCACCCCAAATGCTATATAGAAATACATTTTGTGATTGTTAAGCTATGCATCTGAAGGTTGGAGAACTTTTGCCTATTGAAAAGATTGAGTTATTGATCTCACACAAAGAAAAGTTATGGAAAAACATTTTCAATTCTTCAGGCTTTTTTATACATAAAGCCCCATGTGACTAAAACAACCTATGTCCATATTTGTTTATCAGGTATATTACATTTAATTCATATTAGCATTTACAGGTAAGGTTATATATTTTATATACCAGGAAAGTTGTGAAACAAGTATTTGAAAGGGCTTTTTCACAGAACCCCTGCCAAAATGAATATTCCTGGGGTTAATTGCAATTTTTGCCTACTCACAAATCATTGCACATGAATTCAATGTCATTAGGCTTCATTCACATGCAATGTCTATTTTCTAAATTCTATTTTCTATTCGCGGTATGTCTTATGATCACGGTCTGTGCCCTGAATATCCCGCGGCGTAATTACTGGCAGCGCGAGCCAGTTACTATAAGTTACTATAAGTAACTGACTCGCGCTGCTAGTAATTACGCGGCGGGATATTCAGGGCACAGACCATGATCCTAAGACAGCGCGAATAGAAAATAGATTTTTAGAAAATAGACATTCCATGTGAATGAAGCCTTATTCCTTTTTAGTTTAATAAGCTTAGTTCTAGATGATCATTTAGAACAACACAGCCTTCCTGAGTCCTGACCTTCACAGCCTAATTTTTACACAAGGAAATGGCACAGGATGTTGTATCAGGGCCGTAGCCTGAGCAAAATGCCAAGGGGAGCAGTAAGCGGACACAAGGGGGCGAAGCCCCCGAGGGGGGAGGGGGTGTCCCCCTCCCACGGTGTGGAAAATTTTTAAAAACTGTATGTATAATACTGCATTCTGGTGCATTTTAACATGAGTGCATTTTCTCACAGAATTGATACCAACTTTGCAATTATTTTTTTTACCTTTGCGATTATTTTTTTTTGCACCTCAAATCCCAGGGGGGCAGCTGCCCCCCTGCCCCCCCCGGAGGCTACGGCCCTGTGTATCGCGACCCTTTACAATGTATTATTATATTGACTTTGCAAGCAACCATGAAGGCTGAGAAGAAAAAAGTACACTTCAGATAAACTTACATTTTAAAATGGGGTTCTTTGTCTTTAAGGTATCAATTAGGAAATAAAAGAAGCTTTCCAGAATATTCTAAATACAAATATGACTGGGGGGGTATAAGAAAAGGAGAGTTCCTTTAAGATGCATCAATCCTCTTAGATGGATTCATGTCAAATAACTGCATTCATAACATATACAGAGGATAGACTTATTTCTAGTGTTAGTTAAAAGCAAATGCTTCCATTACCTGTTCCAAGTGCAGGGAAAGCCACAGACTTTACACCTAGAGACTCTGCCATTTCTAGGCACTTGATAACAGCCTCCTTCCATTTACCATGGAAGTACACTAGAGCATCAAAGTGAATTATGTGATTGCATTTCAGTTTCCCTGCTCCTGTCAGAGCTAGACCACTCTGTGTTTGACCTGTAATGCATTTGAGGTTAGACACAGGAACATAACTTCATGTTTTCTCAACTATCTCCAAAAAACAACTCTCTAAAATTTGACTTATCTATTAAAGAAGTTTGGAGCAGACTACGAAATTTACACTGTAAAAAAGTTAAAATGTTAAATCAAGTTCCAGGTATGTAAGTTTTTTTCTCCAAAATTGCCTTTTTATCTTAGAAATTGTTATTTCAAACCTCAATAAATATCTGGAGAAAAAATGCTTACAAAAAATAAAATCTATTTTTCACACTTACCCAATATTATTATTATGTATCTTATGTTTTCTGACAATGCCAATTCTGCAAGTATATTTGCAATTTAAGTTGATGTTAAAAAAGTGAATGCTACTTATTCTCACCCTTCTTTCTACATTCATCCAGGATAGCACTCCCTCCACTGTTAACAATTGCCTTGGACACTCCACCTGCAGGTGAAAGCACAGAAAGTGTTTAGCATTCAGTTAGATTAAGCCACTTTCATTTCTATGCGCACATTTATTGCCAGATAAACACATTTATTGCCCTATTTAAAGATAAAAAAGCATAGCTGTGAGGCATGGCCAATATTTCATATATGTTGGTGCCTAATGAATGTTTTTTCCTTTTTTTTTTTTTTTTTTTGTTAATTCAAGAAACTTCAATGATATTATAATCTGACTTCAACTAGACAGGCTAAAACAAAATACATTTACCCACTGACAAGTCCAGAGTGGGATTTGTACTGTTAACTATTGCTCCCACATCTTCTTTGGTAATATCATCTTTTTGGATTTGAACACAGATCTTTCCAATCTTCATTTGGTAACTGCCAGGAGTTTGGCTTGTCAGGTTGGTATAGAGGGAGCCATCTGTAACAAAACAACCAAGACCATAGCATTTCCACTTCAAATTGTGGATTCAGCTATCACTCTCTGCCAAGAACATGAAAGTGAACATTAATCTATGGTTTACCAATCACCTGTTCTTGTCTTTTTCCATTTGTTTCCCTAATAAAAGCTCCTCCTTCTTACATAACACACTCAACAAAAGATGTAGGTACATCATAACACTTTTTTTATCTGATCATAAAAGCAACCAAATCTTCAATGAAATATTTTCAAAAAGCAGATACCTACCACCTTCAGAAGTTCCTGCCTTGCTCTTTCTTTTTCTTTTAGGTTTTGCTCCCATCCCTCCTTTGCCTTGCACACCCTGAAGTTCATCCTCAAAGGCCTAAAATATATTCAGAAATAATAGTAATATGTAAAACTTTTCATTTCTTAGAATAACATTTATGTATTGATCCTCTGTGTTGGCAGATTTGCCTAACCCTCACTAGGCTTGAAGGCATGACCATCCAATTTTGTTACTCACTCAGAGCAGACTGAGATAAACAGATCTGCCATCACTGTTCACATAACTGCAGAAAATTATATACCAAAAAAAGAAAACTATATAAACAAAAGAAAGTGATATGCCCGGACAACAGGTAATAATAATAAAATCAATAATAAAAGATATAAAAAATTTAGGGGTGAAACGACATTGGATGGAGACTTTGCTGCCTTGTTGGAGTCTAATGTGAAACAAGAAATTAAAGCACTCCGAGAATGCAGACCTCCGCCAAGGCAGCAATTTTTTACTATTATTGATTATTGATTGATATTGATCTGGATCACCACCAAAAACTAATTATCAGTACTTTGGCCCACTTCTGACAGTTCCTGAAATTTTCATCAAAATCTGTCCATAACTTTTTGAGTTATGTTGAAGACAGACAGACAGAAAGACAGACAGACAAACAAGGGAGAAAACATAACCTCTTTGGTGGAGGTAATAACTGCAATAAAAATATGGCAACTAAATACCATGCACCCAGGTGTTAAGTAATAGCATCAGTGTTAGAAATTAAGGCTGGACCATCTGCCCAGGGCTGACAACTTTCAGAACGGGCTGAAAAGTTTCCCACCCGGCAGACATTCAGTCCAGCTACTTTTCAAGATGGCTGGACTTTCGGTCCAGCAACTATTTTTCCTAAGAGGCAAACACTGAATAGCATATATACTCCAGTTTATTTTCTTAAATTCTGGTCTCTAATTATAATTAGCTGCATAAGATATGTATTAACTGTTGCTGTTGCTGAAAAGCATGTACTTGATATAGGCATAAAAATCACAGAAATAGTAAAGCTTTTAAAGCAATTTGTTATACAATTTCAATGTATAAAAATATGGAGCTAGTAAATTAAAAAAATTGTTTCCCTGTGAATCAGTATAGTAATTAATTGTACCTGCTGTTGTGCTAGCTGCCCTTTTACAAGAGTCACAGTAATGCCTTCAGCTGTCTCCACAGAGTCTGGTGAAGGACCTGGCTGGAAATCTGTATTCTGTGTTGTTCTGCGAGAACACCATGCTCCTGCCGCCTGGAGCTCATCATCTGTATCTATATCATCCGGGTCTTGCCACTGCACCATGTCATCCCCTCTCATATCTAAATATAATCACTCATAGACTTGTAAAATCAATATAAATTGTTAAAATAATATGTAACATTAAGATTGGCTGTGATCATGACAACTAAATGAATAGTTTTGGTTTGTTAAACAGTGCAATCCACCTGGTTATTACTAAATTCTCAGAATGAGCATATCGTAGGGAAAGTAGTGGAGAATTCAATCTTTACATTGCATGGGGGAATATTCATAACCAGGCTTGTTGCCAGGTTTCGGGGAAAAAGTCCCTTCTGGGTAAAATTTTACCTAGGTACATGAATATTTCATGGTAAAAGGTTCACTTTTTCAGAAAAAGAACCCTCCCCCTATTGAAATTGCTGGTTATGGGCCTGCATATCACTAACAAAATGATCATTAAATACAAAATTTGCTGAAACTAATCAACCTATTTACCTTCCCTTAATGTTGGTGATCCCCTGTATCTGGTCTTGGGCTGTCCAAACTGACCAGTGACCCCCAGAACACTGTGGACAGCCTTACCAAACAGATCAACAGTAGAATCAAATGCATCAACAAAGTGAATTTCTTTGAGACTGGAGCCTGGATTTTCCCTACAACTCATATCAGCAGCCTCAACTATGGCCCTGGTACTTTTGTCCACAGGATAACCAAAGGTGCCAGAACTAATGGCTGGAAAGGCAATGGATTTGAAGCCATCTTGGTTAGCCTTTTCGAAAGCCTTGTAGACTACCGCCTTGAGCAGTCTCTCTTTTCCTGCTTTGTCTCCCTCCCACAGAGGTACAACTCCATGGATAATGAGTTTACAAGGTAGTTTCCCTGGACCAGTCCAAGCTATCTGACCTTCCAGGAGCCTTGACCATTCATGACTCTCAAGGAATTTCTTTGATTCTTCCTGGATTGTTTTTCCTCCTGGAACATGAATAAAACAGGATACTAGTAATAATGAGGGAATAAAAATTTGTCCAATCTGATTGGGCCATTAGTGCAGAGTGTTGAATGATATCCTAGCCCCTGTCAGCCTTCTTTCCATGACTGACACCATATGATACAAAATTAGTCAGGTGTCCATTGACATAGCAACGTACATCACCTTGCACTAGTGGGCTAGATTTGGTCTTAAAGTGCAATTTAAGTTCACAATCGTTACAGCAGTAGTCTTAAAATGGACTGAATCTGCTTTTAAGATAAAAAATGATCTAACATCTACTTAAGTGGTCAAGCAGTTTCCTCCCCTCACAATAGGGGATACCTCCCCTCACAATAGAGGACACCTCTGCTCACAATAGAGAATGTGTAAGGGGAGACAACTTAATTGGCTGTCAGACTAGAAATGGTCTTACTCATGTTTTAAGATCATGTAAGACTATTTGTGTTCTTAAATTGCACTTTAAGACCAAATCAAGCCCACTAGTGTTGGTGACATTCTGTTTAAAATCATATCACTCACTGTCAGTAACCGAGATAAGGCAGTGGGGGAGTGGGGGGGGGGGCATCTTTATGGATCTGTGAACCAGTCAAATTGATCTCTTTTCATCAAAATTGTCTCTATTTAAAAACAGCCCTTTTCAAGACCCATATCTTTAAAAAATATTAAGTAATGTAACCTTCTCACCTGCTTTTAACAGAGCACCTGCCAGACCACCTGTATGCTCCAAACGGTCATTGGCTGCATTGACCACAACATCAACTGGGTATTTGCTCATATCTCCTTTACACACCAAGAATTTCTTTCCGCTGCTATGAACCACTTGACTCCTCACAACCCTGGTTTCCTCTGCCTTCTGGTGATCACGTTTCCCTGTAATGACATGAGGTGTTGTCTCCTCAGGCTGGTTAACTTCAATGATGGTTTTTGTACGCATGGCAACACCCTCAAGCAGAGACTGCCCTTTCTTTTCACTGAAGAACTTTGGCATGCCTGGTTTTCCCACAGGATATGAACATTTCTGGACTGAACTGGATAACTCCTTGATAGTTGGCATAATTTCCTTCAGACCATCTTTTGTGCCTTTAACCATAATGCCTGGCTTTGATTTGGTGTTGTCTGCTACAACTGAAATGACAGATGGTTTTAGACTAGCAGTGATATTGTTCAGCCCTTCAATCATATAGTTTTTCATGTAGCTTACTCTTCCATATTCCATTGGCTCAAATACAGTCAATATGGTATTTTCTTCCAAAAACCTGTTTATTCTGCCAAGAATACCTTGCATCTCTTTTTTCAGGGTCACAATGGTGTAATGTGCTGCACTTGAAGAAATCTTCAACAATCCAGGATAGTCTTTATTTAGACTGTCACACAACTTCTGCCACTTTTCTGACTTCATCAATGGCTGAGACTCTGCATTTAACTCACAGGTCTTTTCTTGAATCTCCCTCAAAATGATAGCATTTGCAGTTTCTAACTGGTCTCTTGACTGTGCGTACAGTGATATTTCTTTATCGCCAAAGGTCCACACAGCAACTACTTGACTTGACTTAAGGCACTGATCAAGATAATCTTGACATGCTTGAGATTTCAAAAAGTCAATCATCAAATGAGACAGAGAAACCTCGTCTTCAACTAATGTTGTAATTCTCTCATACATTTGCAACTTAGCATTCCTAACATCTGCTTGAACCCCTTCAAAGGATATAATGCCCTTTTTAAGATCAATTTTGGTGGATAGGTCATGAAACTGCTCCTCCATATTGTTCAAAAAGTTCAAAGCAAGCAACAGTCTTAGCTTGTATTCATCCAAAGATATGTTATCTTTTATTTTCTCCCTCTCCCTTTCTATTGCTTTCATTTCTGCATCATGAATGGCTTTCACTTGATTTGACAACAGCATTACCATTTCATTTTCACCAGTAAGGGTAATTTTCATAGTGTGAGGGTCCATATCCAAAATAATACCACATGATTCAACTAAGCGCTTCTCTGCGATTCTTTCCACAGTGTTATTCCATGCATCCGGTTGAATTTGGAAAACCTCATGTGAGTAATGCTGAAAAAAATCCTGGACTTTCAATCTTGCCTCTTGTTCCCATGTTTGGATCAGCGCAAAGGCATCCGGGGCATCATCTGTGATGGTGCAAGAGAGACGGAGTTCTCCATCATTAGTAAACTGGGCTTGGGCATGTGCTTTCTCAAGAACATCTGCAAACTTCCTCCCACAAACTTGAGGATGTTTTTGAACATACTTCACAAAAGCTGGGTTGACTTTCACTATAACTTGTCCTGAGGTTGGCAGATGAGAGGTCTCTCCAAAAAAGGGATAATATGCATGTAAAGTGATTACTTGTCCAGCTATTCTGTGTTCCTTTGTCAATAATGGCCCAATATCTGAATAATAATAATAATAATAATAATAATAATAATAATAATAATAATAAAATCATACAAATACTGAAGCTTTCCATTAATTATTATGCATATATTTATATTTTGTACAGCTTTACAAAAGTAATGTCATGCAAGTATGAATGTACTTTTTGTTGCTTATTCTTCATCAATTTATCTTAAAATGGTGTTTAACATTAAAAAACATTTTGACTAATTGAAAAACACCTTAGCTCCAGCATAACTTTGGTGTAAAAAAGCAAGTGAAAGCTATGGTGCACACCTTAAATTAAACACAATATATTGATACTATAATTCATTCAGTAGAAAAGAGAGTTAATGACTTTAAAAAAAACTTGTTTATAAGAAAAACATAGATCTGAATACCTCTGTAATCAGAGAACTCAACCACACCATATCCCTTATCAACATTTAGTTGAATAACTTCTGCATGGGCATCACTGTCACACTGAGCTTCCAGGTGGATTTCTAGGGCATCTTTTGTGGTTGAAGGAGGTAGGCCATGGACCTGTACAGCACTTGGAAAGTAGACCTGTGCAGCATCGACATTACCAAATTCTGATGTTTGTTTGTTTTTCTTTTTCTGGATCCTCTTTTGGACAATACCAAAATCTGAAAACATACATATTGTCTAGTTCTATTTGATTGCTACCATAATTGTTTTTGATAATATTACTTACATGTACATGCATTCGCAATATATATACATCTAAGACACAACAAACACTATATAATATGCAAAGTTCTGTGGTAGATTCACTGATGTGCTTAATTTTCAAACAATACTGTCTGACCCCCAGACAATTAAAAATCTATAATAATAATAAGAATAATAATACATCTTGAAATGCCCCAAATTACACCAGATGTCACTTAAAAAATCAACTATTGACTTTTTTACAATGAAAAGAATTTTTACATATGAACAGCATTCAAGGTTTACAATCACATGCACAAATTATACAGCAAGGATATATGTCACACATATCATTATTGAGAATTATTTTCAGTTTTGGATATTCCACAACTACCCCTGCAATATACATGCTGATGATACCAATACAAACATACAAGATGACACACAGTCATACCAATTCAAGGAAAGAAATCAGATAAGATAACTTGCCTATCTTCTCCTGGAATGTCACCAGTATGACACCTGGTTGTGGTCCATACACAATATCAAATGTGTCCTGCTCACTGATGTACTCTACAAAAAACCTCAAGCAGTCTGGAGTGGTTGTTGGCAACAGGCCCCTCAAAAGTAGTTTGTTGGGTTGTAATGGCATCTTCACATTGACAGGTTTTTGGGGGCCAAGTAACTCACAGATCTGCAGGGGTGCGTCTTCCAATGTCAAGGTGCCTCTTTGTATTATTCGGGATGCAACTGGAACAACAAACCATCATTAACAACTTTTCTAGCACAATGTGCAAAAAATAACTAGTAAAATGTCAACATCACATGGCAAGATTCACAATCTATTCTTTTATGCAAACGTTTCTCATTTCTTTTAAGGTCTCTGTCTTTATAGTGTCTCCAGGTTTTATGAAAATGAAGATCATACCTTTTGCATCCTCAAAGGTGATACAGGCTTTATTTTCTTTTCTCTTGATCTCCATACTTTTGATTTGACCACCTCCAGATCTTTTCTTGCTCTGGAAGAAATATCTTATAACCTCATCAGTCGTAGTTTCCTTGAAACCTCTGACTTCTATTGTACCAATGTGTTCATCTGATTTTTGTTCATCTTGTTCTGAAAGCCACTGAGGATGTACCACTGGATCTTGTGTTTGGGATTGAGACACTTCTTCTTTCAGGGTGCTTATTGCTTCCA